GTTATAAGTATATAGATATAAAGAGGCAAACTTTATATTCATACCAAGTTATAAGAGTATCTGGATTAAGCAAAAAAAAAAAAAAAGCAAGTGTAAGCAAATAACAAAGAGAAGTCCATTGAAATCCTTTTTATACACAAAATATCTCCACTGGGAATTCTGAACACACTCTAGAACTCTAAATATTCAGGTGTTCAATTCTAAAAACAGGTAGGGATTTGTATTAACAGGTAAAACAGAAAAGTATCACAAGAGTCATCTGAAGTCTCATCATTCAGAATGATGGTTGGAAAAAGTGTCCAAATACTTTATAATTTTCTTATGCACGTAAATGAGATATCTTTTTTCACGATTTACTTAAAGTAAGCAATTTCTTTGCCTCCATATTTTCTTCAATTTTAAAATAGCTTCATTTGAAAGACTTGTGTTGTCTTTAAAATCCCCAAATGATTACCCACTTCCTTGTTACATAAGAGCGGCTCTTGTTTTGGTTAACTGGACTTGTTTTTCATTTTCTAGTTTAATTTTATATCTTCTTAACACACACACACACACACACACACACACACACACACACACACACACACATTGGTAACCCAAAGTAATGTTAGGTAATCAACTACACTTTATGAACAATTTTATTATAAAGGATATTTTTCCTTTTCATCATTTGTTCCCTGAAAATGAGATCATTTCTTATATATTTAAAGTATTATTACAAAAAATTGAGTAACAAGCAGTGGCTTTGGTTTAAGAATATAAAACAGAAACAGAATACTTTCTTAGGAATAATCTGTGAAGAAGAATTAAAATGACCTCTCAAGGATTTCGGTGATCCGATTAAAATATTAGCCATTTTTACTGGATTTTCCATCACAACTGCATTGATGAGATTTCCCCCCCTCAACTGGAAATTGCTATACAGATAAAAACAAAAACAAACAAAAAAATGAAAAAAAAAAACCCCTAAGAACTTGAAAACTGTGATTGGAAATATTTGCCTAGGTCGTTCCTTTTCCAGTTTTTCTCAGATAAAGACAGCTACGTTTTTATTACCTTTTACTAATTAACACTAAATTTTAGGATCTTTTCAAGAAATAAAAATAAGGCTGGTGAATGAATCCCATACCTTATATTTGGTTGCTAGAATGAACTGAAGTTGTAGAGTTCTTCGCATCCACTGGAATGTTATTTGTTTTAAAACAATTCTTTCATCCGCCTTTTTCTCCTTGCCTTTATTGTAATTACTATGTGGGCAAAAAGAAGAAAGTTTCAAAATAGGAGTCTATAATTACATTACTATGAGTCATTTCACTTTAGAAATTTTAAAAATATTTACTAAGCCATGAAAGTCAGCATATTTTCCAGAAATTCTCTGCTAAATCAGAATAAATCTGCAGTGTTTCTGCAGGCTCAAATTTCAGCTCAGCATGTACCTGCTGCAGAGATAAAGTAATTTTTGCAAATGATTCCATGTGTACTTGCCAAGTTTTCATAATATCCAGGAAATTCAATATATAACATTTTTGCTTTTGTCATAAGTGAAAATCTTAGTAGTTCTAATACTTACCCAAAGTTAGACATTTAACTCTTAACAAATTTATGCAAAAAGTTGAATTGTGTGGTCAGCAGAATACATGACCAGGGTAGTCTATACTTACTTTTCAATTGTGTACTCTTTAATCCCTTTTACTCTCTCTGCGAAAAAAGTTAGTCTATACTAAGAATGACTGATCCTAGGCAGAAATTGTAATCCTAAGAAAAATTAAGTTGTAGGATTCCTGTATCTTTTTTCTCTTTTAATTCTAATTCCACTCTGCTCTTCTAATTTTCAGCAACTTTTTCTTAGGCATTAAGTATTTCAATTCCAATTTCCTCCCTTCCGCTCATTCCTTCTTGAGCAGTCTTTCCCACTTTTTGATTCTCTTCACTCTTTCCTTATTATGCTTTTCCCATTTACTAGAAAGTTTCTCTCAGATAATCTGATCAATTAATCTTTGTTTAAGATTTCTTTAAAATGTCATCTTGAATAACATATTAAATATACCATTTATTGCCATACAATGAAATAAATATTGTACTTATAAAAAGCTGGAATTTTAGAGGGCTTGAACACTGAAAAGATTGCAACTACCTTGTCTCCAAATTAGTCAAAAATCTTATTTTATTTTCTGAAGCAGTATGGAATGTACATGCATGTTTCAATCAAAATAATTTCTTGCAAAAATTTCTAACTGTAAAATTTCAAGGGTGTTAATGAAGCTGGAGGTTTGGGGGTTGATTTTTTGGAGTGGCTGTTTGTTCACAGGCTTTAAATTACCTTCGTTTGCTACTGCCTTGGTGCTAAGCAATTTACACATATTTAAACCTTGCAACAATCCTGTGAGGTAAGGATCATCAGCCTCAAAATACAGATACTGAAATTACAGTGTAGGGAAATTAGCTCATTTTCCTAGTTTTCCCACCTAATTACAGGCAGTACTAGGATTCAAACCGGGTCTCAACGGCTAATGATTTTAAGCTTTTCACATGCTTGGCGATAGTCAACAGGTTTTTAGTGTCAAAGGTGAATGGTCTCAAACTCAGGTCCTGGCCTGCGTTTGACGCTATTTTGCAGCTCTGCATCTGGCTCACGTTTCTAGTCTTACTGCCCACTCCTGTTCTGCCTCTCCACTACACTCCTCCTGTGCTGTACTGTATGCTCTTCCCTTGGCTTGAAATGGAACTTACATTCACAATCTGTTTCGTAAAATTACTTAAAACATGACAATGTACTGCAGGGTCCAGAGAAAATGGTTCCACCCAGCAGTGTGTGTGGGGGGGTTTAATTTCATCTCACACAATCTTTTAATTAGGCCTTTGGTTTTTAAGCCCTTAACCTTCATTCTGAACCTCCAGGGGAACCCAGGGCCTCCAAATCCTGAGGCATTTCAGGTGTGTGATGAGGAAATCCATTTTCTCCATTCACCTCCCCCTGCCCCCACCCCAGTCACATACCATGAATTCATTTTCTTTCCATTCTCTCACTTGTTTTCTTGTCCTCTCCTGTTCTCTTTGTTCTTCTGGGTGTTTACCATCACCACCACCGCCACCACCACCGTACTTTCTTTTTCAGTGAGGTTTCTAGAAGAAGAGGAATGGATGTGGGTATTCACCTTGTCATATTTTATTGGAAGCCTAAAATCTTTCTTCTTTTTAATAATCATCCTGGTATGAAAATTATGGACTTTGGAGTCAGATTCTCCACCTTTTTCAAGTCGGGGCACAGAGAGAAAATGGTCTTTGTATAGTATGCTGGGGTGGGTGGCAGGACTAACCTAAGGAGCCTGTGCACCTTGAATTACTGGTGTGCCAGGATATCCGTCACACAGCCTCAAGGTGGTAAACACTGGGATTATACTTCCCGTTTCTTAGTACTTGGGAAATACAGGAGCTAACATATTTGAAAGTGCCAGCACAATGTGGATACACAGTAAGAGCCAGTAGAGATCTGCCTGCTTCCTTCATATCCCCCCCCCCCCCGCAACAAGTCACAACTTACACAATGCAGGGGCTCACATATCTGTTAAGCAAACGACTAAGATGGATGGACATCACTGTAATACAATAGGGGATGATTTGGAGTCAGAGGATCTTGTAGACCAGACAGCAGCATTAGACGGCTGGGCAGAGGAAAGAAGGAGGACAGGAGGTTATCGGGCTTCCTAACTCTCTCTGCATTCAAATAGTGACAAGTGCCTTTTGCTATTGGAAATCATTTGCTGTGAGGCCTTTGGTAGAGAGGTAGGCTGCAGGTGTTAGGGAAAAGTCTAGCGCCTTCTTAGTTGAAAGGGAACAGCTGAGGTGATTATTTAAAGAAATGTTCTTTGTTTTGCATTAGATTTATCTCTGTTCTGTTTAACCTTTATCTTCACATTATTCTTTTCCTGCAGAAAAAAAAAAATCTGTTTACAATCTTCCTAGGGTCGGGGCATTCATTATTTCCCACTTCAGATTTGGGAATACACATCTTTACATTCAAAACTGCAAACACCGTCACACCAAACAGCATATGTTTGGCGTAACAAAGGCAAACGCGACCGCATCTGTAATTCACTAACAGGTAGAAAAAACAGTGAAGGAATCTGAAGAATGTTAAACCCAGACGGTAATCTATACCGCCTTTCTCTTTTAATTTTCCTCAGCTTCCTCTTTTTCTCTTTAGATTCATCTTGACTTTGCTCTTCGTTTGGGCTTAAATTTTTTTTTGGGTGGGGGGAGCGTGGGGTCTCATCCAAAAAAAAGGGCAAAGAAACTCCAAAGAGGCAAATGAGCAGGGAGGAAAAGCAACAAGTCACCCTGCTTTCTGCCTAGATCCTGCGGGGAGTCCAGTTGGCAAGTGAATCCCCATTCCAACGGCGTAACCTACCCCAGCGGCAGTCACCCCCAAAGCACTTCCCAACTCGGTTGGGCAACCTCCCTCCACTTCTCCTCCTCCCACAGCTGTCGGGAAATCCTGGAGCAGCCCTTACCCAGGAGCCGCTTGTTTTCTAAATAGCCGAGGTTGGAGCTTGTTTTAAAGAGAAAGAAACAAAACTCGACGCTTCAGGGGCTGGGCCGCAGAGCCCAGCTTGGCGGATTCCCGCTGCGGGCCGAGGCGCGGCCGCTCCACCGGCTGGCTCTCCAGAGACCAACCCCGAGAAGCTGCGCACTGCTTGTTTGCTGGAAAACAATGAATTGGGTCCGTCGGCCTCACCTTAGGGGTACCTGTGCGTCGGAGAAGGGAGGCCGCTCTGCAGCGTGAGGGCGGTTTTCCAGGCGAAGTCGCGGAGCTGGAGACGCGCAGAGGCGTCGGGTTTCGCGCGGCGCCGCTCTCGCCCGGCGCGGGGACGCTGTGCGCCCCCCTCCCCGCCCCCGCTGCAGCCTGTGGCTTCCCCCGCTGCTCCAGGTCGGTTTTTCTCGGCGACTCCAGTGTGACTGCCAAACTCCCGGGCTCTGGGCACACCTCGGAATTTGCCCCCGCCTCCCGCCTGCTCCCCTCGGGCTCCAAGAAGTCGCGAGCGCCCCAGGGGTCGCCCGAGGAGTGGGCTCGGGACCGCGGGCAGCGCAGCCTGGAGGGGGGCGCCAACGGCAGCGATGAAGCCATCTTGGCTGCAGTGTCGCAAAGTCACCGGCGCCGGGGGACTCGGGGGGTCCCTGCCCGCGTCCTCTCCCGCCCGGGGAGCTGGCCCGGCCCGCAGGGCGTACGTGGCCCCCGGCCAACGGGGCGCTCTCGGGGGCCGGGGCTGCCGGGCGCTGTCCTCGGGCGGCTGCGAGTACAAGACCCACTTCGCGGCCTCGGTGGCCGACCCCGAGAGGTTCTGGGGCAAAGCCGCGGAGCAGATCAGCTGGTATAAGCCCTGGACCAAAACGCTGGAGAACAGACATTCGCCTTCCACCAGTTGGTAAGTGACGCCTTCGCCCACCCCCCTCTCTCTTGGGTGCCAAGGCTTGGCGTCCCCTGCACCGGAACCTGGAGTTCTTTTGGGAAAGACAATGCGACTGGAGATACGCTCAGACCTTTTAATTTGTGTTTAATTTCAATTTCGTAGTCAGCTCTTTTGCCTTGTCCTGAAGGATTAGGTTACCTATTGTGAGCCCCGCTTCCTATAGACCAGAAATTTACCTGTATGGCAGGGCTCTGCTTAGTTGAGCAAGAGCCAGCCCCCAGGGACAGCACAGTCTAGTATGGGAAGCAGCCACGGGGAAACAAGTGCAAGAAGAGGGATAAACTAGGGGAGTGTTACTAAGTATCCACACACTCGGAGGAAGAACGACTTCAATAAGATTACACCTAAGTAGGGTTTGGAAGGGTGGATATGTCTTCTCAAAGTCCACAAGGTCCTAATTATTAAAGTCCACGAGGTGGAACACAGGTTGAAATTTGACTGTTGATATAGTTGCAACTAATTGTGTTGGCTGGAGAGGTGGGAAAGGGGGCTGGTGAGTCAGGGGTTGGTTTGGGAAGGAATTTAGGTATCATGCCAAGTAGCTCGGATTAGGTCCACAGCCCTGTCCTGTATATGAAGCTGCAGTACCGGTACCCAGAAAGAATTTGCATACAGGTAGGTGGTGCTAGAAATCATGGTAGGAATGAAGTTTTTTGTTTTTCGTTTTCCTCCTAGAGTTGCAGTTATAAGTAGTTATAAACGTTGTTTTTATATTGTAACAAACAGAGATACATTTGTAGAATAAATCTCAAACTTGACAGAGTATTAAGGGTGAGTCACACAGTCAGAACTCAAGAGTTGTGGCTGTTCTTTGGGCCATGGGCCTTAAGAGTGTAGTTGCTTTCATCAGCAAGCCATTAGGGAGAGATGTTTCCTGTAAAAGTTTGCAAAACACTGCAGTGGGGTTTCCCACTACCATTTCCAAGTTCCCAGCAGTGAGATGGGGGAATGACATGGTCAGGTTTGCATTTGACAAATGCCTTCTTTTTTTTTTAACATCTTTATTGGAGTATAATTGCTTTACAGTGGTGTGTTAAGTTTCTGCTTTATAACAAAGTGAATCAGCTATACATATACATATATCCCCATATCTCCTCCCTCTTGTGTCTCCCTCCCACCCACCCTATCCCACCCCTCTAGGTGGTCACAAAGCTCCCAGTTGATCTCCCTGTGCTATGCGGCTGCTTCCCACTAGCTATCTATTTTACATTTGGTGGTATAGGTAAGTCCATGCCACTCTCTCACTTTGTCCCAGCTTACCCTTCCCCCTCGCCGTGTTCTCAAGTCCATTCTCTAGGTCTGCATCTTTATTCCTGTCCTGCCCCTAGGTTCTTCAGAACCATTTTGTTTTTTTGTTTTTTTTTTTAGATTCCATATATATGTGTTAGCATACGGTATTTGTTTTTCTCTTTCTGACTTACTTCATTCTGTATGACAGACTCTAGGTCCATGCACCTCACTACAAATAACTCAATTTCATTTCTTTTTATGGCTGAGTAATATTCCATTGTATATATGTGCCACACCTTCTTTATCCATTCATCTGTCAGTGGACACTTAGGTTGCTTCCATGTCCAGGCTATTGTAAATAGAGCTGCAATGAACATTGTGGTACATGACTCTTTTTGAATTATGGTTTTCTCAGGGTATATGCCCAGTAGTGGGATTGCTGGGTCACCTGGTAGTTCTGTTTTTAGTTTTTTAAGGAACCTCCATACTGTTCTCCATAGTGGCTGTATCAATTTACATTCCCACCAACAGTGCAAGAGGGTTCCCTTTTCTCCACACCCTCTCCAGCATTTATTGTTTGTAGATTTTTTGATGGTGGTGACAAATGCCTTCTTGTTGAAAGTAGGAACCTGAAATGGAGAAAGACATCTTGACCAGAGACTGTTCTCTGTCACCACCATGCTCTGTCCTCTGTCGATTATTTGGAGCTGTTTAGGTGGTTTTATCTTTAGAATCTGAGCATATTTCCCCATCCAGTCAATTTTTTTAGTAGTGTTTCAGAGGATTTTTCAGATCCTCTCTTATGTGCTGGACAGTGGCCCAAGCACTCGGTATGCATGCGGCAAAGCGGTAGGGGTAGGAGTCATGATGGTCAACAGCATGGTATCTGGTGCTGGAATTTTGAGTTTGAGTTCTGGCCCTTACAGTTACTGGCTGTGTGTTCATAGGCAAGTTGCTTAATGTCTCTGTGCTTCAGTTTTCTCGTATATAAATGTAGAACTAGTAAGAAGATTAATTTATTAAAGGGTTAAGACCAAGTCTTAATGAAATAGACCCTATAAATGTTAGAGGAAGAATAGTTGTCTTTGTAGTTTCATACCACAATTATTTAAGAACAGGAAATCCTAGTGTTTCTCAGATCAAAACACAGAATTATTGTCTCGCCTAAGAATGTGTTCTCAAAAAGTTCTGTGTCCGTATATATGTCATAAAGTATGGAACTGAGATTATTTACGTGAGCATCCTTCGCATAAAACTGTGTGCAGAGAACCCAATTAAGAAGTCACTGGGATATTCCAAGTAAAAACCAATGAGGGCCAGACCTAAGGCAATGGTCAGACCATTGCCAATGGTGGCAATGGAAAGGAAAGGACAGGTTTCTAGAGGATTAGTTGAAGTTGGTGAGGGCTCAAGGGAGTGCAGAGAATGTGGAAATCAAAGTGTCCATCAGATAGACATTTAAGATCTGGAGATTTCTCTCTGATGTTTCTTTCTCTTTTTAATTTCTGGTTGCTTGCCTAAATTTTAAAAAATTGTGTGCAGGCTTCCCTGGTGGTGCAGTGGTTGGGAGTCTGCCTGCCAATGAGGGGGACGTGGGTTTGGGCCCTGGTCTGGGGGGGTAATACCACATGCCACGGAGCAACTGGGCCCCGTGTGCCACAACTACTGAGCCTGTGCTGTAGAGAGCCCGTGAGCCACAGCTACTGAGGCTGCGTGCCACAACTGCTGGGGTCCGCGCGCCTGGAGCCTGTGCTCCACGATGGGAGAGGCCACAGCAGTGAGAAGCCCACGCACAGCAGCACGGAGTGGCCCCCCTCTTGCTGCAACTAGAGAAAGCCTGCATGCAGTGACAAAGACCCAACACAGCCCAAAATAAAAACAAATAAATTAATTTAAAAAATGTGTATGCCTAAAATGTTCCTTTTTTTTTTTTTTGCGGTACGCGGGCCTCTCACCGTTGTGGCCTCTCCTGCTGTGGAGCAGAGGCTCCAGACGCGCAGGCTCAGCGGCCATGGCTTACGGGCCCAGCCGCTCCGCGGCATGTGGGATCCTCCCGGACCGGGGCACGAACCCGTGTCCCGTGCATCGGCAGGCGGACTCTCAAGCACTGAGCCACCAGGGAAACCCCAAAATGTTCCTTTTTTAATGAGGATTTTTGTCAAAGGGTCCTTGTAGGTATTTTCAAAAATTCAGTACATTGTAGATCACTGATATTTGGCAATATTGTATCTGAATTCTGTCTTTGTACTCTTGGAATCACATGGCTGTACCTGTTTTATAGCAGCCCAACAGATCAAAGTGAATAACAGATAAGTCTTTGAGTCTGCATTTATTTTAGCAGTGTGATTCCGTCTTACTAAGGAGTTTGGTTGGCAGAGCAGAGTTGGGGAGGCAAGTAGACACAGCAGACCATACATCTAATCTGAAACTTCATTCAATATGTGGTTTCAATCTGAATCCTACTTGCAGATATTTCTCATTGGTTAACATTTTTCTGCAAAGGTAAACTCAAGGGCAGGACAAATGTCTTTTTTTTTTTTTTTTTAATTTATGTCCATAGATTCTAGGACAGAACAGACATATGAGTTTGAAAAGTGATAGTCAGATAACAGGATACATAGCCCTAATGATTTTTGATTCTGTATGTCTTGGGAGGTGGTAAGTGGATACAGGCACAATTTGATGTGAAGGTGCTTTGCTTACTTCTTTTTGAAGCTGGGATGGGGGAAGGGAGATGTTGACTGCCAAGTTCTTAAGTAAAATGAGGAGGGGTCGCTACAGCTAATTGTTCTCTTCTAGGTGGAGCTGGCATAGGTGTAGTCAAGATCTCTGATGCCCTTTGGCTTCCAAGAGGCAAGAGGGATTCTCTTTCCTCATTATAAGCTTGTCTGTTCATTTTTCATGAAAGTAAACGCCCCTCCGAATCTACAGGCCTACCAAAAGCCCCAATGCATAAATAGTAATGCATATTAGCTTTCATAATGGCGTACACTACCCAATAGTACTTTACGAATGCAGTAGTGTGAGCATGGAATAGAAATCTTTAAGGGTGATATACTAGGGACTTTCTATTGTAGGCAATAGCCCTGTAAAATACATTTCTGGGACTGTAATCACTGAGATCTTTGAAAGACAAATTACATGTAGGTGCTTTAGGAACATGTGAAGAACCACCTTTCCTCACAGTTTGTTGGTTAATTCACATTGTTGACACCTAGCTTTGGGGGGACTAAATTCTCTATTACAGAGACTTCAGTAGAGAACTGCAATATAAGGTGAAGCAATTAGAACTCCTAGTAATTTCTCTAATCCTGGAACAACAGAATGGAAGTTTTGGTTATTTTCTCCTGATGAATTAGACATCCTGCTGCCTTTCCTGAAAATGAAATCCAGCTGCCACTCTGAAAAATTAGGCAATTCACTTTTGCGTGCATTGTGGTTAACTCTTCAGTCTGCGTCATCCCTTATCCCTTTCTTTGGAAGCGTTGCAATTCTATTTTTTTTAAATAACATTTTCTATTTATTTAAACAACATTCAATGATCAGACTCTCACATACTGTTTGGTTTAGAATTTAATATGCATTAACAATGACTATAACCTGAAAAGGAAAAGTCTCTGACTAAATGCAGATTATTAGAAAATGATTTCTGCTTGGTTAACATCTCTATGATGGAAATTGTTTAGGTTAACATGCAAGATCTCAGTTTCTTACTAGCTATGAGA